AATTTTAAACATTTCAAATTAGAAATTTATAATATTAAACTTAATTGAAAAAGTAAGTAAAAAGGTGCTATCATACTAACACTAGTGCACTGAATTGTATTAAAATTCTACAATTAAACATGTTTAAGTGAAATTAGTATCATGATGAGTGACCTATTGAGAAGATCTCGTGTTGTATCTCTTGTTTTCATTTATCAACCGTTAATAGCTTAACCAATATAATATTCATTAAGTTAAAACTTTTGATTTGTGTCGGAATTAGAGGCTCAAATGTTTACAATACTAGTTAACTTTTGATACACTAAAAAGAATAAAAAATAAGTAAAAAATATAATTAATACACTTTAATATGTGACATATATTAAAAAATTTCATAAAATATTAACTTTCTTGTTAAACCTAATAAAAAATAAAGGATTTGTTTACCTTATGCCCATAATGTACATGTTAATAATATATTAATTGCATACTTTTTATTATCCATTATAAAAAACATTAAATGTATATTCAATTTTCTTAATCACTTAATTAAATTCTTACACATATTATTAGTATTAAAAATGAAATTAATTTTTATATTTTTTATACAAATTAATGAGAAAAAAATGTGTAATTGATATATCCTTAAAATAATTATTTAAATAAACTTCAAAATAAATTTAAAAATTTTCTAATAAACACTACCAGATATTAAGTTAAGATAAATTTATTACATATTTTTTTATTAATTTATATATAAAAATTATTTTATTGTTAACAATAATATCATTTAAATAATTTTAAAAGAGTAATTAATAAAATAATAATATATTTTTATTTTTTTATAATAATAACAAATAAAGACATCTTTTAACTAAGAGAACTGTAAATATAAATAAAAATAAAATAAAAATAGAAGTAAGAGTAAAAGTAACCGGTTTGAAACCGGTTGCTGATTGAAACATCAATCATATTGTCAACAATAGAGCAGCAAGTGCTCAAGAGAGTGCAGATGGGAGACTGCCCGTAGCATTGCTCTTTTTATAAAGAGAAAACTTAGGTGGAAAATTCGCCATCCAAACAGGCCCTAGAAGGGTTACATTACATCTTATACTGCCTTATATATATATAAATGGATATGGGTGTATATATTTTTCTCTTACAACTCGCCCCAAACGCTTTCAATCGTCTTCCTCTCGAAACTCTGCATCACCCACGGTGGTCGGAGATTTTCTCTTTCCTCTCACTAATCTCTCCGTCAATCGCTTACTGGTACGTGAATCTATCACTTCTCTCACATCTTTTCTCATGTAATTTTTCTGTTTAAATTGTATTTTTAAAAAAATAGATTAAAAGTATAATTAAGAAAATAGATAAACCGTTTAAAGTTGAGGATACTACTCATGTTTTGGTTTTTCGAGATTAAACATTTAACTTGTTTATGAGGAGTTTATTTTCTATGGAAAGTTGAAGAGATTCGTTTGTTGAGTTATTATCTTGAAATGGTTGCCATCACATCAGTAATGTAGCTGTTGTTTGCTGGCATTGTCGGCACAATATTTCTTCTTCCCAGAAAACCTTTTCTGGGGGAAGAAGAGAAAGTTGGGTACATGGTAATGGTAACTGGTAGAGTAAAGGTGTAAATAAAAATTTTAATTTTGTATTTTTTTATTTAAAAAGGTTAATTTTGTTATTTTTTAAATAAAAATAT